TTTATTTACTTGCATATCACAAGGTAATGGAATTTTAAATAACACCACATTGATTTCATATGTTTCTCAGTTTGTTGTCAAGTGCTGAAAAAACAGTTTCAAACAAACTACTTGGCAGCATATTGTTAATCCCATAAAGACACATAGGGAAGATTTTCTGAGCATGCTGTTAGAGCTCTCCCGTTGGAATTTTTATTATTATTTATTTATATGTCACATTTATATAGCCACCCATCTCACACAAAGTGACTCTGGGTGGCGTACAATTACTTATATGAAGGAGCAAATGACAGTTCCTGAGCTGTTGGAAAGTGAAGCAGTCAGTCTCCTGAGAATACCAGTTATGACTCTTTGGATTTTGTTACAATAAGTTAAAGCATAAAATAACAAATTTCAAAACAACAGTGAGGAAACCCAGGTTCTAGTCCTCCCTCAGATACAGAAGCTAGCCAGGTAATTCTGAGCCAGTCATTCTTTCCCAGGTCTAGTCTAAGAAGTTAAAAAACATCTATCTACCAACCCACAATGGATCAACCTGGTAGATTACAGTCCATAACTTTCAATGAAGAGGCCTTCACCTTGCATTGGATTAATAGTAATAATAGTAATAATAATAATTAATTAATTAATTTTAAAAAGAGAGTTGATAATTGATGTGGCAGTACCAGGGGATAGTAGAATAGAAGACAAAGAATTGGAGAAGATCATAAAGTGTTAAGATCTGAAAACTGAAATTGAAAGATTATGGCATAAACCAGCAGTGGTAGTCCCAGAGGTTATTGGCATACTGGGTGCCATACCAACAAACCTTGGATGGCCCTTAGAAAATCTGTACATTGACAAAATTTTAATTGCAAAAGGCCACACTGCATGGATCTGTACATTATGACATCCTATGTTCTTGGGAAGAACCCGATGCGAATCTTTAGCTGGCTAACACCAGCTAAACAACTGGCAGCTGTGATTTCACATTGTTGTGTATATAGTAATCATCATTATCATCATCATCATCATCATCATCTCAATACATTTTGAGCATAAGACATTTATTTTTGGAGTAGTTGAAAAACCTCTGCCTACTTTCAAGCTGGCATTTCCAATTAAGCTTGATATCTATTTTCAAAGTTATACTTGATATACTATAGTCCCAAGCTGCCCAAATTACTTCTGAATAGCTGTTACTCAGATCTGTATATGGGCTGTACAGTGGGCAAAGCAAGATGCATTTTTGCTTGCTACTGCCATCAGTTCCAGGGACCTGACTATGCTGGGCTGGGTGACAGTTTTCTGGTAAAACTGACTGAATTTCATTCACATGCTGCCATCTACACTTATTCTAAATTAAAATAACTTTTCCAAAAAGACATTTTTCTCCCCCTTCCCATAAAAAGTACAGGTAGTCCTTGTCTAGTGACTGCAACTAGGACCGACAACTTAGTTGTTAAGCAAAACAGATGCTAAGTGAATCTGCAACTGTGCTTATGATTTTACTTCAGCTTTCCTTTGCTTTACAGACCTGAAAAGGTTGTAAATGTGAGGACTAGTTGCAAAGTTACTTTTTCATCGTCTTAACTGCGAATGGTTGCTGTAGATCAATTTTCCTCTGCTTTACCAGATAGATAGATAGATAGATAGATAGATAGATAGATAGATAGATAGATAGATAGAT